TAACCTTCAGGGTGGATATAGCTCGCTAGCAGCCTCGCATTGAAGACCTATCCATATCGTAATTTACCCAGAATGCTTTGCGTGTAAATAAAATGGCTCCGTCTGTGTTAAAAATATTTTAAAAAATTTACAAAGCTAAACAGCCTACAGTATTTTTATAGTCTTTATTTTACAGTTAAAATATTTGTTTATCAAATAAAGTCTAATGTTACAACTAATCAGGGATCCCTTTAAAGCAGGGGTGTCAAACTCCTGTCCTTGAGGGCCGCTATCCTGCATGTTTTAGAGGTTTTCTTGCTCCAACACACCTGATTTTGATCGCTGGGTGATTAACAGGCTTCTGCCCAATTTGAAGAGTTAATTTAATCACTGAATCAGGTGTGTTGGAGCTGGAAAACCTCTAAAACATGCAGGATAGCGGCCCTCGAGGACTGGAGTTTGACACCCCTGCTTTAAAGTTTATAATATTCATTCACACTGGTGGACTCAGGATATCAGGCCGTCTGGGCACCCTGCTATTGTGATCACATAAACAGGATGTGTGTGTAATTGTGGATAAGTGCTAAACTGTATGGCAGTTTATTATAACCTTTCCACCTCAGCCAGACCATGTAGGAAGGGCAGAGAAGTTTCTATAGAAACACGCCATTCAAGTGGCCGTGGGGTGATGACAGAAAAAAAAAAAAAGAAAAAAGGAGTGTGAAGGAGTAAGAGAGCTTGACAAAAAGGGTGAGGGAATAAACAGTGGCAAACGATGTCCATCTGGAAGAAAAAAATGTTGAGGGAGTAAAAATGACAGAAAAAGTGAGGCGAGTGCAAAGGGAACAAACAAGCTCCAGATTTCCACCCGAGTTTTTGAAGAGCGATGCAGTCATTAATCTGTCCCTCAGTGTTCTTTTCACCTGTCAGTCCTTCACAAGTTCTTCTGTCTCTGTGCTCACTTACAAGAGATAACAAGTCTGTCACTGCACGCTTTAAGTTGTGTTCTGGCTTCAAAAAGGTCCAAGCCACGACAGACAGGACTGATGCCTTGTCTTTAAAGGAGACTGCACTGCTTCGGCTATCATCCATTCATCTGTCCTCACACGCATGGCTGAATGATGCCAGTATTGTTTTATAATGATAGCAGAGACTTTTGGCACTAGCCATCCCTGGTTAAAATCTCCAGAAATTGTTAATATTGATCTGTCAATTTAATAGAACTATGACAGCACAAACAGCATAATCAGCTGTTTCATAATCCACAGTGGAGTAATGACCCAGACATCACTAGTGTTTTAACACTGAAAACACATTTTACCACACTTGTAGTGGAATGAAATGTTGGTCAAAATCGAGATCAAGAAGGTTGCTTCATTATTTAATTTTTTAATGCATAGAAGGAGTTTAATGTCATTTTGTTCATGTGTTACCACTTATTATTTCCTATAACTGGTCTAATGGCATAAGAAATTGGGCTTTATGTTTTTTTAAGTACTCGTAAAGAGTCATAGTCACATGTTTATTTGATGTTTTTCACACAAAAATAAAAAGATGGAAACTAGCTTTAAATAAAAGTTTGTTTCCTGGAAGAGGATTTCTACTTTCCAAAACAGAACRAGGCTTGCATGGCCTGGGTTTAAAGGAACTTAAACAAAGTTCAGCTTCCTCCTGTCCTGTGTTCAGAGTTTTTCAAAAGTTCACACTTTACTACCTGTATTTCAAACTTCAGTTCAAATAGATTAATTCATGATTAATTCATGTTCTTTGTCCTTTTTTTTAAAGTCTACCCTCAAAGTTCCAATACGAAACAGGTAGTTTATTAAAATTTAATGAATTAAAATATTCCAAAAAAAAACTTGGTGCATGTTTATCACAAATGTTTAAATCTGATCTTCACTCCTATAAAACTGGTTTCATTTGCATATTTTTAAATTTTTTTGTTGTCAGAAAGCAAAAAAAAATTAGCTAGTCTTCAGATTTAGATTTTTTGCTGTCTTTTGTATTTTTTGCTATATTAATAAACTCTTTAGTTTATTTAATCACATTAAGTAATCAAACCTCCACTCATGTAAATAGCGGACACAATCAGCCATATTTATATTAGTGATGAATCTGATATGCAGGCATAATTTGGCATAAACCTTCACTTTTCATGGTTAATCTTTAGTTTTTGTAGTTAAGATTAACGCAGGAAGAAAAGGCATGCTTTTGTTCAATAACTTGTTCAGACAAAGACAGGAGTATTTCCACAGATGTTTAACAGCCTGATCATGCTACACACACACACACACACACACACACACACACACACACACACACACACACACACACACACACACACACACACACACACACACACACACACACACACACACAACTGAAAGCAACTCAGCCTCAAGGGGAAATGTTACCTATCGTCGTCCTGCACAAGGAGCTAAAGTTTGACCCGACAGTTTTTCAATTTTGCTGTTCACTCGTGAAGAAAGTTGTTTAAATTACAAAWTGAGATACATTCAACTCTTCCGTTAGTTCAAAGTTCAAACACCACGTTTGTGCACACGAACAGACACGTTATGTACAAATGCTTGTTCATAGAAGGTCATTAAATCCCAGGCAATTTTCATAGCAGATTTAGCTCTGCCTTCTCTCCACCCCTCCTTCAGTTTTTCACGCTCACCGTCCACACCCACTCCACCCTTCCCTCGAGAGTCGGAGTGGGAGAAAGGGTGACTATTCTAGAAGCGAACGTGTTTGCTCATGCACTGGACAGTGCAGTCACTGTGCAATAATAGATTTTTTTTGCATGTGTCAATGTACCTGTGTTTCCAGTAGGCACATGTTAGTTTATGCCGTGTTTCATCTACATCCTGCTGTTAAACTCCTATTAAATTAGTTTTGGCTTAATGTTTTGCTCCTAAAACCTTCACAGTTCATCAGAATCAGTGAGAGAATGAACATCAGGGAAGAACTCTGCAAATGGGAACTGAGACCAGATTTACATGCAAATCAGACAAGCTGGATGGATGAGTGTTGCTTTGGGTATCTCTCTTTCCCTAAGCTTCGTTTGCCGTGATTGGGTCGTCATACTAGCGCTTAATGAGGATTTTTCTAGCGTTTGCACCCGTATGTACACGCATATATACACAGGGGCACAAGTGCAGAGTATTTGAGTTGTTGCTGCTGACACAGTGACCCAGTCTGCAAGATGTAGGTTACCCTTTTCTTGCTCTCGTCACATTCCTGCTCGCTCATACAGAAGCTGACTGAGGATGCTCTGGTGCTGACACAGAGCTGTTCCAGTGCATCATTTGCTGGGGCCAAAGTTCAAGTATTTTGCTTTGTATTTGAAGCAGGAGTATAATTCACACCAGATACGCTCAAAGTGGTCATGCGGTACTATCACCTACTGTATGTACTTCCTGTTCTTCTTACCAGTTATAATAAACTTTGGGCTTTTTTTGTAAACACAGTTCCACAAAATGAATGCACAGACCAGTTTGTCTTTATGCTRCCTGTGGTCCATCATTGATCTCTCGGTAACAAATCTGTTTGTTGTTGTTTTATTCCAGCAACCAAGTTGCAGTGACCATAAGTCATCAGTTCTTTACATTATTAAGGCCCAGCACTGGTTTATGTTTCACGTGTTTTTGCTCTCTAACTTCCTCACTTCGAGGCACAACGCGACGCATCAAGGGTGGGCAGGCTTCAACCCCCCTCACCTCCTCTGTCCATTCAGAAATTACATAGATATGCTTTGTGAAAGAGCCTTTTGACATGTATGTGTTGAAGTGTATACAGTGTTTCTATTCATATTTACAAAAAACTGAGTTTTAGCCCATTTCACACTATCTTTATGTGAGCACAGGTTCACCCACAGAAATTACATTAAAGGTGGTCATTTAAAAAAGTAACTTGTTTCAACTTCAGTATTAACTAAACCAGTGCCATTAGATGTGTAACAATTTTTAGTTTCTTCTTGTTCCTTTGGTTTGTGAAGCACAAATTCAAAGTAAATGAATTTTCTCTGTCTGGAGGGCCTTTTAGATAAATGCTGATAGGCTAATGGCAATCAACGAGCTAAATATTGACCACGATCAATACACCAATACATACTGTGCGCTCTTGTTACTCCAACAGAATGTTTTTCTAATGGAATCAAAAATCACTGAAACAGGGATTTGACAGTTATTTATTGAGGAGAAAACAGGTTTTTACCATTTTTAATTAGGTTCCCTGGTTTTTGCTTTTGCACTTTTAGGCTCTGCAGAAATTAGCAAGTCAGTACTTAAAGAAAGACTGGCCTGGAATCAGCCCTGATGACCAGAGAACAGACTACAGGTCAGTTTAAAACTAATCACTCTTTTTTTTTCATTCCAGTGTTGTCTGTTCAGTAAGGAGAATTTCAAACTTCATGTTCTTTTTTTAAAATCTCCATCTAGGAATGTGTACGCAGTGTGGAGAGCCTACCTAGAGGGTACAGTTCAGGTGAGCCAGTCGAGGCTTAATGTATGCGACAACTACAAGAGCCAAATATCAGAGCCGGCCAAGACCATCAGACTTTATAAGGAACAGCAGCTCAAAAAGGTGAGAGAATGGGAGGCCAAAACGGGTTGCTTATCTTTTTTTTTTTGTATTGATCTTTGTCCATTTTTCTCTGCATCCTTTTTATTTCAAATGCTAAACACTTCTTCAATATAACTCATTTTGATGTGCTTTCTTTTTAATGGTAATTTATCTGTTTTATTATTTCCTTTTGCAGACCATTGATCAATTGAGTGGCATTCAAGCAGAGCTGCAGGAGTCAGTTAAAGAGTTGGCAAAAGCCAAGAAAAAATACTACGACTGTGAGCAGGTTGCCCACGCTGTACGAGAAAAGGCAGACATAGAGGCCAAGTAAGTTTGTTTTGTGTGTAAAAGACGTTAATTGGTGTGTGTGTGTGTTTGACATATGTAATCCAGACTAATTCTTTTCATATGTGTAGGGGTGTTTATTATACAGGGAAGAAAAACTATAAAGAAAACAATCAGTTTAATTAATGCAGATGTAAGATAATACATTTCAGATGCAGATGTGTCCAATTTGTATTGTGTTATGAGCGTTTCATAAACAGCCAGCTGAGTAGTGGAGGATCTCCTGTAAGAATTCAACAATTAAGGCTTTATACTCTCACCCACAATTAGTTCCAGATTTGAATTCTGTGCTGATGGATGTTGTTTCCCTGCCATCCTTAAGTATGTCACAGTAACTGTGGAAACGTTTTCACATTACTGATTCCCAAGTTCTGGTTAGCTCACATCGATTGGCCTGTCAACTCTTTTTTTGTTCTTTATCAATCAGACACACAAGTTGCTGTTCTTACTCTGTTACAGTAACGAGATTGAGAGACTGATTCTTATAAAAGTCAAAGACAAGACGTTTCTGTTTAATATTGGAGAGATCAGATATTTGATATTATGGAAACATTGGTAATAACACTGTATTCTGTAGGGGAATGAATTGATGACAGCTGATCACCAGGCTTGCAGGTAGAGAGCTGGGCTGTTGTGTACAATCAWATTTTTGTAACTTGTTGCTCAACTTCCTTCCTGTAAAACAGAAAAAGCATCAAGGCAGAAGCTGTGAGCATCGTTACAGGAATTTTACAAACTCAAAATATCGCTTAAATGTAAAACATAAAATAAAGCTTTGTAGTTACGGTTTGTATGAAGAATGTACTTTCTGTGCCATATCCTGCTATACAGCTGTGATTTTTCAGTCGCGAAAAAGGAGAACTATAGTGMGAAAAATGGCACAATGAACATCACAAACAGCAACTCCTCTCTCATGATGTCGCCGTTTACTTGTGTAATGAGTCACGCACCAATGCAACTGCTGCTTGAGACTTAAACCTGTTTGTACGTCAGAAAAACAACAACAAACAACCTTTCATTTGGATATGCTTAGATAACTTGGTGATTATTTGGAAAGATTTGATACGTATTAGATGGTTTGCATTTTTAACCACACTGATTAAATATTTTTGAAAATAATTATTTTTTCCATTTTGTTGTTTCAGGTCTAAACTGGGTCTTTTTCAGTCAAGAATTAGTTTACAGAAAGCAAGTGTAAAGGTAAGCAGGCCATTCATTAAAGCAGAACTTTCGAGTAAACCATTTACCTAGAATTACAAATATATCAGTATTTCTGTTTAACTCATACAAAAGACTAATGGCTCTAGTGTTCCCTCCCTATTTTAGCACAAAATAAAAATCTGTCACCTGTTTTGTTTCAGTTGAAAGCTAAGAGAAGTGACTGTAACTCCAAGGCGACGCAGGCCAGGAACGATTACTTGCTAACGCTAGCTGCTGCCAATGCTCATCATGATCGCTACTACCACACAGAKCTACTGCACTGCATACAGGTATGTTGGAAGCTCACTTATCTAGGACACGGCCATCCGAAGAGATTGTAACTTTTTGAGGATGTTTTTCTGCATGCAGGTACTGATAAGTGTGGTGTGAGGGGAAAACATAAAACTGAATCTTTCCACTTGGGAAAAAAAGAAGAAGCTGGAAACTCAGATTTGTAATGCTCCACCAACGTTTTCTTTTACCACAGCTGGCACTGACTTAAGAGTCTCATTTGAATACTACCTTGAGGGATTGTTTAGCAATGAGAAATCATTTTCTGGTTGAAAAATTCAAATGGGGGGCCTTTGAAATACAGATAGAATATCGTCTGTGTAAAAAGTGCACACTGTCAGACTTCACTTCAGATAGTTTAAAGGGAAATATTTCACTTGAAAAGGAGAATATTTCACAGTTTTGAGTCTTCAAAGACAGTCTCAGCTTTTCATGAATTTATAATTTAAGAAGGTCTTCGGTGAATAAAAATCCATGCGATGCAAAACGAGCTGTCGTGATGTCTGCTTTTACCAAATGACAGGAAATCAAAATGATTACAATCATGAACACAATGTGAGAGGACTGTTTGACATCTTTAAGGTAGTTTTTTATTCTAGCTAGTTTTGACACGTAACAGATAAGACCCTTTTTTCACAGTGAGTCCAACTATCTCCATGTCCTCTCAACATCCCCTCTTCAGCCTTCCTCTATGTCTTTTCAAACCGTCTCAATCTGGCTTCTCCAACTTTATCTCTCAGTCGTTCAACCTGTGCTGGATTTTAACAAGTCTAAAAAAAACAACCTGCCTTAGCAAAAAATGTGAGAGATTTTGAAAACTTTTTTTAACTAGGCAAGTTTTAACTTTTTTTTTTCCTTCGGCACTATGATGATCTGTCATTTTACTGTGTTTAAGCTCGCTAGTGCCAGGGTTTTTCCCCTCTATATGTTCATAACAGGAGTTGAAAACACTTTTTTCCAACTAAGACCTGATGAAGCAAACATGACTGAAAAAAGATAGTTAAAACTTGCCTAGTTGAAAAACAAAACCTATCTCTCACCTTTTTTTTGCCAAGGCAGGCTGTTTTTTTTTTAGTCTTGTTAAAATGTTTCCTCTCTGAATCTTTGACACTCTTCGCCTCAGGCAGGCCTGTGCATCTATACTATGAGGCCGTTTCTGAATAATAGATCCTCAGCTCCTCATGACAGAAGGACAGAACTGCAGGGAAACATGCATGTACACAAATATGTGCATGTAAACACACAAGGCGAATGAGGGACACTGCTTGAGGGAAGCAAGCTGTTCCTGCTTCTCATTTATGACGTTTACAGGTTTTTAAATAAAAATGTTATATTGTTTTACTGAACGGACGAACGACATTCTACAGAGCAAGAATGAGTTATAGAAATGTTAAAACTATATATGCTGTTTAGGCATTAGACACTAGTTACTGAATGTGGCATGTAATCATTTTTGATTAGCTGTGGTGACCTTTCTGCAAATTTGRTTAGAATCCATCCAGTGGTTTACAAAATATTTTGCTAACAGACATGTATGGTTGATTTCAGTAGTTAATGGCAAAGATGCTTCATGACCTGTGTGTGTTGGGGATGAATCGCAGCTACTACCACACAGAATGTTAGCTCACTATCTTTAAAACCAACTGAATTATAGCCTTTTTTGTGTTTGCTAAGGTTGATTAGCTGTGGCAGCCATTTTGAACTGAGCTAACTCCAAAAGGTAATCCCTTGGAGGTGTATGTCTGAATTATTTTCAGAAAGTTTTGTTAAAATCCGTATTAAGGTTGACAAGATATTATGCTAACAGACAGACAAACACGTAAATGCACACAGACACTAGCACAGGATGTTACATTGTTGCTCGCCATGTGTGACAACATATCCACTCCCCTCACCAAGATAAAGCCAAGTCATCTGTCAGTAACTTTAAAGCAAACGGAGGAACATGATGAATCGCACGTGGAGGAGAAATTACCTGAAGACACTAAAATAGTTTGACTTTTAAAGAAAATTAGACCCACATGTCTTGTTTGGATCAAACCTACCCTTCATAAACACTGACAGTATTGATAGTTGCACCTGGCTGCAGTAATAACACATGTTCTTCATGGGCTCTGTTGTCCTTGTCAATGCCACAGCTGTGGAGAGAGACCAGGAGCTGCTCTATGTCGCCCTCTGCTGTTCAAAAGTGATCCTGTTCATACAACCCCCCATTTTAGACACAAACACACTTAAATTTACACCTCTGCTGCCCGGTTTGCTCCTCTGTGCTGTACGCTTTGTTCAGACTGATGCAGTCATTTGACATTAGGTCACACACGCACACACACACACACACACACACACACACACATAAAAACAAACACCGACTGGCCCCGGTACAGGCTTTTTCTGGAAGCTGACTCACTTCATTTCAACACTACCATAAATGGAGAAAAAAGAGGAGGGGAGGAAGAGAAGAAAGGCGGAGGAGGAAATTAGCAGAATGATGAGGGAACATGAAGGGAGAAGTCAGCCAACAACCCACCCTGAATTACATCATTTTCTTCTTAATACCTTATTGTTTTACAAGACTGTGGCATTTGCACACATGTTACAGTTGTCATGTAAAAAATTTTTGGTGTATGTTTTTGTTTTTAGGTGATAATTTATTTAAACAAATTTAGCATAGACAGCCCAAGCATTAATGTCCAACTAAATCCAATCAAATATTTATGTTTGTCTGTGAGGGGAGAAGGATACTTACCTTAAAAGTCCACTGGCTCCTGCTGTGCCTGCAGGTTTCTGGGAACACAAACGTTTGTGAAGTGCGTTGACCAGATGAGTTGACTTGAATGTTGAAGTGTGTAAGTTCTGTGGGGTCTGATTTGATCTTCTGAACTATTTCAACATCCCCTGCTGCAATCAGAAGATTAAAAAAAAACATGTATTTTCCACTTTTGCTCTCACCAACTCCTAATTTGCGTCTAAAGGATCTTTCTCCTCTCCTTTAACCCTCACCATCTTTTATTTCTCTAGTTGATGTTTCTGTTTCAGTGTGGTCCGTAGCTTGGCAGCTCTACTCCGGCCCCCCAGTAGGAAGGCTGATCATTTGAACTACGTCATTAAAATGTCTTTCTATCAGCGTGTATAAAGTTCTAATGAAATCTGCCAAACAAAAACATCTGCTTGGCTGTTTCTGGGCTACAGCTGTTTACCACAGTGTCCTTTTTTTCTTCACTCTGTTCTATGCTCAGTCCAGTGTACTTCATTAAATATCTCTTTCAGCTTTTCTGAAAAAGAATCAGCACTTTTTTTTCATAAGTTTTGGTAGAACGGAGTGATAGATCAGGGCCTTATCCTCAGTAATGAAAGCATGGTCATGGTGAAGAAAGAGATGAGTGAAAAGGCAAAGCTTTCGATTTACTGGTCCATCTAGGAGGTTTGGTTAATGACAGAAAGAATGARATCCTGAATCCAAGTGACAGAAATGAGCTTCCTTCATAGGGTGGCCAGGATCAACCTTTAGAGATTCATCATCTATGGGGAGCTTGGAGTAGAGCCGCTACTTCTTTGCACCAAAAGGAGTCAGTTGAGGAGGTTTGGACATCTGATTACAGTGCCTCCTTTTTGAAGTTTGCGGAGCATGTCCCAGTGGGAAGAGATCCAAGTGCAGACCCAGAACTCACAGGAGGAGTGTATCTTCTCTGGCCTAGGATTGCCTTGTGGTCCTCCAAGAGGAACTGGAGAGTGTCTCTGAGGAGGGGAAGATCTGGGTTTCTCTCTGTTCACTCTGCGACCTAAGGATAAGCTGTAGAAGATGGATTTTTTCTCTTCCACAAAAAACTTTTAAAATACAAAAAAACGCATGAATTTTGGCTTCAGCGGGCTGTTTTTGGTCATTTTGACTTTTGGACAAGTGTGATTTGTCAAGCATCATAACATTTGTGATCAAAGTAGGGTTGGGCAGTATTGGCAAAAAAAAAAATCACGATTAATTATGGTATTTAGCCAATGATTAATTTGATGATTAATCCCCTGGACACCCTTATGTCCTAGTCACATGACCAATTTAGTGGGAAAAATTTGCTCTTCGTAAAAATTTGTTCCAAATTGCGTCAAAATTACAGACTTCAGGCTATACATCAAATTTTAAACTGTGTTGATAGATAAATAAATGACAGAACTTTTTTTTTTAAATGTTCGTCATATTTGAAGCAAACAGGAGCATGGAGCCGACCCTGCCTGGTGGCATTAATCGTATTAATCGTCAAGTGCCGAAAAATAATCAATTAATGTTTTTCTGACAATTAATTGCACATGATACGATTATGCCCAACCCTAGATCAAAGATTTTATTGTTTTGAGAAAGTGAGGCAGATATTTTACCCTCAAATGCTCTGAAAATGTTAATGTCAGGGGAAGTCTTATTGCATTAGCAGACTTAAACCTTGGTGTTTAGCTCAGACACTTGTGTCTGTTCGTAACCTTGTGCCTATACAACACAAGTAACCAGTTAAATTCAAACAAACAGAGCTTTAAAAAAAAAAGGTTCTCGACTGTTTAAACCTKGTTTGTTTATGAACAAAGCTGCAGAAACCAGTTGAGCTTTATGGACCCAGATCAAAACACAAAGTAAAAAACATGCATTCTTATTGTCCTTAATGAATGAACGTTGAGAAAATATCTTTTCTCTTTTGGATATAATAGTAAAGGATAAAAATATATACATTATTAATGTTTTCACGCCCATGCCTTGATGTTCCTCTCCCTGCCTGTTCTGTAGGCCTTGGATGGAAGAATCTACGAGCACGTGAAAGACTACCTGGTGGCGCTGTGTCGCACCGAGCTGGAGGCCTCACAGGCTACACACAACACCTACCARTTCCTTTTAGAAAAATCCACCAGGGTGAGTCAGATGTGACGAGGCACTATCTGTGCTCAGTTTGTAAATTTGCATAGAAAAACATGTAGATGTTATGTCCTGATGCATCTCAGCAATCCAGGTAGAAAAAAAAAGTAGGTCCTCTGGACGGGTTCTTCTTTAATGAAGCGTTTCATCTCTACTCCAAGAGTAAAGAAGTGTCTTGGAGGAGAGATGAAACCCGTCCAGAGGACATACTTAATTTTGTTTGACGATGTTAGAAGTTATGATAAATCAGTAAAACAAGCTTTTATTTAACTGGTTTATATAGTAAAAAAAWTTTTTTGAACAAAGGTTGTGTGATTACAGAACTGATATAGTGACTTAAACGTTTTGGTTTTGACTTGAAATTTTGGTGGAAAATCAGGTCTTTATTCTGTGACCCATCACATCAAAATGAGGATTAAGTCTAAAAGTAGGAAATGGAGAAATAGGCAAATATAGTGTTTTGATTAAAACGTTTGCAAAAATTGCATTTTGTCAAAACATAATGAATAAATGCCTTATCAATGTTCCTTTAAATGAACTGTTTGAAATATAATAATAAAACAAAATTTTGAAGCACTTTTTTCAGTAGTAGCAACAAAAAACCTGATTTTGAGGAAAAACGCCTTAAAATTTTGACAATTTCCCTGTTAGCTAGCAAGGTTTTGTTTCTTTTCAGCTGGGAAATTTTAAAATTCAAATATAATTTGAGGTTTCCTCTTCATTATGACATCAAACAATCCTCATTAAAATTACAAAAAATTAGGATTCAGACCAAATATTTATGTATTATTGCACCCAACAAGACAAATTAAGTCATGTATATATATGGATTTACTTATGATATCAGAATGAAGCAGGTATCAAAATATAGTGTTTAAAGCCAGGAATCTGAAAATGTAATGAGGTCATTTTGACCAAATTTGACTTAATCCTCATTTCGAAATGATGGGTCACATTTAGAGAAATAATAAAAGGAGCTACTATTAGAGAGTTTACATTTTTTGTTTGTTTATGCCATATATTGCAGTGAATGTCTTTTCTTTGTCTTTTCTTTTAGTTTTTATTTTTCTCCGCCGTGCTAGCAGTCTCTTTCCAGTTAAATTTTAAATCAAAGTAATGCATTTTTTTAGTGACCAGCAGGTTACGAGTTTTCCAAACAGTGAAGGCAAAACTAATCGTGTCATTCTGGTTGTCTCCTAGATAATCCAAGAGTTCAACCAGCAGTTGTTCATGCAAGAGAATCCTGTATTTCACAAAGCACATGACTTCCAGTTCCAGCCCAGTGAATATGACGCGGTAAGAAAGTTGCTTTCCTAACTACACTCATGTCTGATTGTCTTTGAATTGTTTGGTTATAAACCAGCTCAGAATAGATTAACTCTTCGTCTTTCTGAATCAGACTCATCCAGCCTCTTGTGTACTCTTTAGCACTGATTATGTTTATTCCCGTTGTTGTTTTTACATCTGTGGGTAAAAACATTGTTAAATTGCTGGAACTAAAGTAAATTCCTTTTGCTCTAATGATTTTAGAAACACATTATTACATTGTGTTTGAGATGTTTGCTTGACTCCCCCTCACTTTGAAATGATCTGTGGTCTTTAGCTTAGCTGTCTGGTTAACTAGTGTTTAGTGACAACATGACAGAAGAATGAATCAACTCCTTTTTTAGGTTACTGCAGCTAAATTATGTGTCCACTGGGAATCTTATGTAGTCTTTAGATTCTTTAATGTGCAGCTGAGCTGATCTATAAAATAAGGTCTTGTGAATTGAGAAGGCAGAGTGTTAGAGATGTTGAACATTGTTGTCTAACCATCAGAACGTTGGTTACGTATTGTAACCCCAGATTYTATGAGTGTAAGCGCAGCCCTCTAAGGCTATCGCAGATGGCTATCGCAGATGGGTACCCCCGTGCGCGTACGCGCATTCTGAAGAGCCAATAGTCCACGCCCATGTGACGTGGGCCTCACCTCGGTCCGTATAAAAGGGGAGGACGGACCTGAGTTCAGCTCCCATTTTTTCTTCAGCTTCGGCATTCTGCATGTACCATAGATGACGCCCATACATGTACAGTAAGTGCTATGATTCTATTATATTGACAG